GTTGTGTGGGAAGTGTGTTGCACAGTGCCTGGTGGTATACAGTAGACACTTGATAAATGGTACCTGTTACCAATTAAAGATTTTTTTTGGTTTGTTTCTTTTTTTTTTTGAGACGGAGTTTCGCTCTTGTTACCCAGGCTGGAGTGCAATGGCGCAATCTCGGCTCACCGCAACCTCCACCCCCTGGGTTCAGGCAATTCTCCTGCCTCAGCCTCCTGAGTAGCTGGGATTACAGGCACGCGCCACCGTGCCCAGCTAATTTTTTGTAATTTTTTTTAGTAGAGATGGGGTTTCACCATGTTGACCAGGATGGTCTCGATCTGTTGACCTCGTGATCCACCTGCCTTGGCCTCCCAAAGTGCTGGGATTACAGGCTTGAGCCACTGCGCCCGGCCTGGTTTGTTTCTTTTTTGTGTATTGTTTTCTTGTAGAGATGGGATCTCACAGTGTTGCCCAGGCTGGTCTTGAACTCCTGGGCCCAAGTGATCATCCTGCCTCAGCCTCCCAAAGTATTGGGATTACAGGTGTAAACCTCTGTGCCCCCCCTTCCCCCCTACCTCCAATTTTAAATTTGTTTTTAGAGATGAGATCTTGCTGTGTTGCCCAGGCTTATCTCAAACTCCTGGCCTTAAAGCTGTCCTCCTGCCTTGACCTCCCAAAATGCTGAGATTACAGACCAATTAAAGATAAACTTTGACTCTTTTTTTTCCCTGAGAGTTCTGAAAGGCAGAAGGTAAATACAATTGTGTATATAAGAAAACGCTTTAGAGTTTGGTGATTTTTTTTTTTTTTTTTGAGATGGAGTTTCGCTCTTGTTACCCAGGCTGGAGTACAATGGCGCAATCTCGGCTCACCGCAACCTCTGCCTCCTGGGTTCAGGCAATTCTCCTGCCTCAGCCTCCTGAGTAGCTGGGATTACAGGCACGCGCCACCATGCCCAGCTAACTTTTTGTATTTTTAGTAGAGACGGGGTTTCACCATGTTGACCAGGATGGTCTCGATCTCTTGACCTCATGATCCACCCGCCTCGGCCTTCCAGAGTGCTGGGATTACAGGCTTGAGCCACCGCGCCTGCCCGAGTTATTTTTTTTTATATTGTCTTTAGTTGTATGAGGCTCACCTTGCCTCTGTAACAATATATATCACTTCCATGGGGTTCAGTGCGTCGGGAAGTTACAGAGGGAGATTGGGACCGAATGCGCCAAACCCAGCAGTGAGTATGTGTAATATCAAACCTTGTTGGTTTCTTTTTTTTTTTGAGATGGAGTTTCGCTCTTGTTACCCAGGCTGGAGTGCAATGGCGTGATCTGGCTCACCGCAACCTCCGCCTCCTGGGTTCAGGCAATTCTCCTGCCTCAGCCTCCTGAGTAGCTGGGATTATGGGCACGCACCACCATGCCCAGCTAATTTTTTGTATTTTTAGTAGAGATGGGGTTTCACCATGTTGACCAGGATGGTCTCGATCTGTTGACCTCGTGATCCACCTGCCTCGGCCTCCCAAAGTCCTGAGATTACAGGCTTGAGCCCCCGTGCCTGGCTGTTGGTTTCTTTTCTTAACTACAAAGCAGCAGATCTGCCACTGTGATAGAATTTGATTTTCACTGGCTTGGGATAGATTCCTGGTGATGCTGATAGTTTATTACCCAACATAGGTCTAGAATTTATACTTGCAGAAGTGTTTTTGTATTTGTAGGAGAATAAATTTGTTTGGCTCTGAGGTTTGTTTGTTTTTCATGATTTTTGAGAAAGAGTCTTGCTCTGTCACCCAGGCTGGAGTGCAGTGGTGCGATCTCAGTCATTGCAACTTTTAAGCCTCCCGAGCAGCTGGGATTATAGGCCTGTGCTGGCACACGCAGCTTATATATACACTTTTTTTTTTTTTTTTTTTTTTTTTGGTATTTTTAGTAGAGATGGGGTTTCGCCATGTTGGCCAAGCTGGTCTTAACTTCTGGTCTCCTGTCATCTGTCCTCTTGTGCCTCCCAAAGTGCTGGGATTACAGGCATGAGCCACTTACCTAGTGGCTCTGAGGTTTTTAAATGGTAACACTTATGTAAACAAACGCTGGTTTCTTTCTAACTTACGACTGGTCTAGAAAAATGTGTTACTTTTTCATAATCTACAGGTAGAGAAATAGAAGAAGAGAACTTCTATTCAAAGAGGCAAACTCAGGGGCTCTGAATGCCTTAATGCTGCTATCTGGAGTTTTATTTGAAATCATTAATATCTTTTTGGGGGTGGATGGAGAAAGGAGAGGTATTAGTCAATGGGTACAAAGTTTGAGTTAGGAGGAATAAATTCTGGTGATCTCTTGCACAGCATAGTGACTATAGTTAATAATAATGTGTTGAATATTTCAAAATTGCCAGAAGACTAGGTTTTAAATGTTTTCATCACAAAGAAATAAGAATATGAGGTGGTTGATATGTTAAGTAGCCAGATTTAATGATTCTGCAATATATGCATATATGGTATCACAAATTTATTTGTTAATTACAAGTAAGATTTAAAAAAAATATTTTAATTGTTGCTCTTCCTGTGATGATGAATAAAGGGGTCACTTAGTGTGGTGTGAATGAGTTCAGTTAGGCTGCTTCCTCCTATCCCCAAACTGAAATCGTTATGTTGAGAGCCTGAGACTCTCAACATTAGCCTGGAGGAGAGACTGGGTTTGGTAATTTTGGAACCTCTTAAAGTTAAGAGCAGGGCATTAGTAAATTTCAAGTATATGCTATAGGATTGCTAATTATAGTCAACTTGCTCTATATTAGATCTCCAGAATTTATTTATTTCTATGCCACTTTTCAATTTCTGATTTCAGTCCCAGGAAAAACCACCCATTTTTGTGCTGGCTACTCTGCCGACTATTTTATCTGCCTTAGAGGTTATTTTGATAAACCTTCACTGTATCACGGACTTAGTAGGGAAAAAGGCAGAGAGTAATGGTACATTTGTCAAAACAAGAAGAAGCGGATCTATTTTTCTTTGGCAAAGATCACCTTTGGAAAGTGTTGTATTATGAAATGCAGAGTTAAATACAACTATCTCAGCCTTGATGTCTCCTTTTTTAATGTTCAGCATCTAAGCGCAAGTTAATTCATGATGGCTATCTCACAGTGGCTTTTTCTCAAGCCCAGCAAATTCATATATACCCCAGTATATAAAAGCAAACAACTTAATTAACTTACTCTTCATCCATAATTATCTTGAAATTAACTACTTACAATGTCCAAAAGTTTACACTACAGACATGTTTAAAAATCTGTTCAGAGTAAAAGGGACTATATGATTGATTACCTTCATTCCTTTATTGCCCACTTAGCTATTAATATGAAAGGTAGCCACTCCCATCATACTCTTTGTCTGCTTAAAATTATTATTATATTAATTTCTGCAAACATTCAAGAAAAGGGCTTTCTGTTCCTTTTTTATTGAGTGCCTACCCTGTGCCTGGCATTGGGTCCTCAGTAGTGGACAGGGCAGCTTTGGCTACTGTCCTCAGAGTCTCTTTGGAAGTTATAGATAGGTGATACTAGTCTGGTAGGGCTGCCGTAATAGAATACTGGGTGGCTTAAACAACAGAAATTCATTTTCTCTCTCTCTCTCTCTCTCTCTCTCTCTCTCTCTCTCTCTCTCTCTCTCTCTCTCTCTCTCTCTCTCTCTCCCCCCCTCCCCCCGCCATGTCCTTAAAGGCCCTATCTCCAAATATAACCACATTAGGGGTTACATTAGGTCTGTGACACATTAATAACCATTGACATGGGTGGGGGAGTGGCCCCCTGTATGTTTATGCTCCCCACCCAGAGCTGACTTACTAGAGACAAGGACTGGGTTTAGGATGGGAATTGACATAACTGTAGGAGTTGGCAAGGCATAGAGAGAGGGGAGAAAAGTATCCTGGGCTGTATATGTTAGAAGATCTGGAAGACACGAGACTGTGGTGGTATATACCTTAGTGTGCCTAGATTTAGAAATACCTTGCTCTGCTTTGTGCAGTGGCTTGTGCCTGTAATCCCAGCATTTTGGGAGATCACGGCGGGATGATCACTTGAGGCCAAGAATTCAAGACCAGTCTGGGCAACATAGTGAGACTCCATTTCTGCAGAAATTTAAAAAACTTATCTGGGCATGGTGGCTGGTACCTATAGACGTAGCTACTCAGGAGGCTAAGGTAGGAGGACTGCTTGAGCCCAGGAGTTCAAGGTTGCAGTGAGCTGTGACTACACCATGGCACTCCAACCTAAGCAACAGAGTGAGACCCTGTCTCTTTAAGAAATAAAACAATAAAAAGATCTTGCTTTTTGTGGGTCTTGAGTTGACATTGAATGTATGGACGTGTGAATCATATGTAGTCCTAAGCTGTATCAAGTCACTATAGAATTTACTCGTACCTTGTTTTTGGATTTGTGATAGGTCCTTAAAGTTAAAATGGGATGAAATGCAGTCACCTTTTACCGGTGGAGAGTCAGGGTTACAGAATGTGCTTGGCTGCCCTCTGGTAGGACCCTGGGTCCTCCTCCCCATACACACGTGTTGCTTATGCACAACTGCAGGTGCTGCCTCTGCAGACAGTGTGCTCAGCCGCCAGTTCAGAGAAGAGACAGGTTTGCCCAAATCAGAAGCAGGGGGTTAAAGAAGAAGAGCCCACCCACATACCTCTCACCCAGAGACAACCACTGTTAGCAGTTTGATGTATTTCTTTCATATGACTTTAATTTCATTGTACAAAGTTGAGATCATCCTGTATCGTCATTTATCTCACTTTCTTACTTACCTTTTCCGTTAAATATTAACTTTTAATGCTTATTTTTTTAATGTTCTTTTCAGAGGGAGTTTAATAGTTTTTTATTTTTAGTGTTTAAGTCTTTTTTTTTTCTCTGTTTTCCATTAGATAATTGTGACTAACATCTCTTAGCACTATTTTTCTCAGATTCCAGATTATATCCTTAAATTAACCTTATAAGCAAAGTTTATTTTAAAGCCTTTCAATACATATAATCAAATTGCTATCCGAAAGGGCCGAATCAATGTATTGCCCCAACAGCTGTATATCCTCTTGGGAAGACAGAAGGTTATTGTAGGCAACATATCGTAGGTTATCATATGCTATTTTATTGTTTGATCTTGCCTTGATGGACTACATGTGAGGATGGACCTTTTCTCATATATCAAATCATTTATGTTTCCTCTTTTGTGAATTAACCTTCGATGCCCTTTAACCAGTCTTTTTGTTGGCACACAGTGCTTTGAGTAAAACAAAAAGTTTCAGGGGAATGAGAGTTCTCTCTTCCCTCCTTGAACTGATAGTGATGAATGTCAGAGGAGTGTGTGCCTGTTTGTGTTTTGTCAAGAGAGTAATTGCACTGAGATCACATTTTTAAAGATGTGAGTGAGAAATTATAATGGTGTTGAAAAATGAGTTTATAACTAATTTGGGATTCAGCTAATAGTTACAGTGTATTTGCTATATGCCAGCTACTGTACTAGCAGATTTCATAACAGTGTTTCTTATTAGTCTTCATGACAATTCTTTGAGGATGTTTTACAACCTTTTTACGTATGTAAAAACTGAGATTTAGACGAATCAAACTGGAATTTGAACCAGGTCTTCTGACACACCCAGGCTGAGGCCCCTCCCTCTGAACCATTGAACCTTGATGTGTATTTTCCTGCAAGTCTCTAGTCTAGTCATTTTGTGTTGGCCCCTGGAATTGTGCACATTCTTTTGCAGCTCCTGAAGAAGGTTGTAAAGAGATGAGCACACTTTTTCCATCCATGAAAATGATCGTGGGGATCACTTTTAGGTAAGGACAGACTGGAGACATTGGACTCCCTCCATCTGGAAAGAAGAAAGTTGAAAGGAGATAGACAGGAAGTTTAAAACCATAAAAATTAAATGTAGGTTTATCCAGTTTTTCCCTAAATGCCTGAATGTAGATGCAACTAGAATCATAATGAAGGATTTTTAGAACAAAATGTTGCATAATCATTTTGAATTTTGTTACCCTGAATATCTTAACAGCCGAAATGTAAATGGTTCAGACACACCCCTGAATAAAGGAATATAGAATTCAGAGAAGCAGTGTAGTTGGAGAGAGGACTCCACACTTTTAAGTTTTAAATTGAGGACTGGGGACCAGAATACCGTCTCCAGCAGAACATCGTATATGCCCATCAGGGAAGGCGTGGCCTCTGGTGTGCACGGGAAGTGTGTGTGTGTGTGTGCCATCATCTCTCCAGTAGATGATTCTTCATGGGGTAAAGCAGGGACTCATTAGGTTTTGTTACGTTTCATGTTTGAGGACACACTGTGAATTTGCTCAAAATTGGCCCTTTTCACTTCTATTTGCCTGTTACATCATCAGATTGGTTAAGGGAAAAGAGATTTCATTTTCTCTCTTCAGGGTTACTTTTGAATCTATGGGCTATTTATTTATTTATATATTTATAGATGGAGTTTTGCTCTTGTTGCCCAGGCTGGAGTGCAATGGTGCCATCTCAGCTCACTGCAACCTCTGCCTCTCGGGTTTAGGCAGTTCGCCTGCCTCAGCCTCCCAGGAAGCTGGGATTATAGGTGTCTGCCACCACACCCAGCTAATTTTTGTGTTTTTAGTAGAGATGGGGTTTCCCCATGTTGGCCAGGCTGGTCTTAAACTCCTTACCTCAGGTGATGTGCCCTCCTGGGCCGCCAAAGTGCTGGGATTACAGCTGTAAGCCACCGTGCCTGACCTGTGGGATTTTGAAAACAATATGGTGACTTAATGACTTACAACACATTCTCATGAATCCTAATAACAGAAGTTCTGGGTTCTGTGTTAATATGGGACTTCCTTTTGTGAAACTTGTAATATGTTCGGGAGGAATGTGTTTAACAAATAGGATTCTACTTTTTAGGGGCATTTGGAGCACTGTATTGTTCTTGGATAATATTTAATGTGGACGATGCTACATGGCCTCCGAGAATATCCCTAGGCTCCTGATCCTTAAAGGGAGAAAACCAGCCTTTACTTTTTGATTATGTAATTGTGATTAGAATAGCCTCTGGGACATAAATTCCAAATATATCTGTATTGTTTTTCTCTAATTAAGAACACTTTTGGATTCAAATCATATTGGCAGCAAATTAAAGACATGTTTTACATATTTAGTAAACGTTAATGATGGAATGTAGTTTAAAGATAAATTTTAACATTTTAAGTAAAAAGTTCATTTAAGACAAGTTGATTATACATTGGTTTTAAAATGAACACTGCTTCAGAGTCAGGAGAGCCTTTGTAAACTCACAAGTGTTGTGGCCTTGTGCATTTCTTTTGGCTTTTTGCTTTCATTTTCTCATCTGCAAAATTGAAATTGTTAGTTGAAATTGTCTCTAAAGTATCTTATAGAGCCAAACATTTCTGATTCTCTAATATTAATATCTCTAAGAGAGTTTCTCTAAACCCAGACAGTACAGTTTGCTTGTTGGTTATAGAGTGATAGTATTTTGCAATTAGGAAGCTTGGATAGATGAGAAACCACACACATGACATAAAATGGTTCCTCAACAGTAAATCTGTGTGGCTCAAATTGGGGAAACAGACTTATAAATTTCTTTTGACAAAAGACATGTCACCACACAACTTAGGAAAGAACTCTGAGCATTTTTTTTGTGTGGACTTTGGACAATTCCCAAAAACTTTATTTTCCTCAATATTTTTCATTCCAACTTACTAAAAAAATTTAAAAAACTTTTTGGGCTGGGCACAGTGGCTTACGCCTGTAATCCAGCACTTTGGGAGGCAGAGGTCAGCAGATCACCTGAGGTCAGGAGTTTGAGACCAGCCTGGCCAAAATAGTGAAACCCTGTCTCTACTAAAAATACAAAAATTAGCCAGCCATGGTGATACACATCTGTATTCCCAGCTACTTGGAAGTCTGAGGCAGGAGAATCACTTGAACCCAGGAGGCAGAGGCTACCCTCCAGCCTATGTGATGGAGCAAGACTCAGTCTCAAAAAAAAAAAAAAAAACCACCGCCACGACTCTTTTTGAAGATCACAAGCTTCAGAAAGAAATACTGCATCCTCTCTGTCCTCATATTTCTGGCCCATTCATTCAGTGAATTATTATGTCCCAGGTGCTAGGTTGTGTCCTGGGGACTGGAGTAACAGAAATTTACAGGAAAAAGCTCCTGCCACATAGCAGTACTTCAGGGACTAGTAGAGACATTGGTTGTGGAAAGAAGTGATGCCAGAACATGGTGGGGTTATCACAGCAGGTTCAGAACATAAGGAGCATGACCAGGAAATCACCAACTGCATGTAATGGAAGGTTTTGTTTCAGTTGGATATTAAAAGATGAATAGAAATGTGCAGGCAGTGACAAGAGTTGGCATTCTAGGTGTAGGGGATGAAATGATAGAAAGCCCACATGGAAGGTAATGTGATAAGACTCATTAATCTAAGAAAGATCCCTCTGGTTGCAGCCTTAAGGAAGGGTGAGAGTGGGAACAGATAGAAAGTAAGGAAAACAGTTCAGAGGCAGCTTTAAAAGACCAGAAAGGAAACAGTGAGGACCAAGGTAAGAAGGGTAGAAGGTGGATGAGTCTGAGAGATGGATATTTTGCAGTGGAATGATTGTGTAAGGATGTGAGTCACAAGAAGCCATGAGAAGCTTGTGAGAGTTAAGAGGCCATAGCCAGTGTTATGCTGGTAAATACAACCTCCTATAATTAAATTGTAGAGAAAGGTCAGTCAAAATTCATATACTGGGGACGATCATTTCTGCATAATAATCTTTCACTTAACTTTTACTCATTTCACTTTCACGAAATAAATGACCGTGTCTTAGCCTGGATGCCTGGGTCCATGGTTCAGCAGTTTGGAAGTGCTGCCTATATTAATAGATATTCCCAACTCTCTGCAGATCTTCTCTCGAGGCTGGAGCGGCTCCATTCATAACAGAAGCCTCTCATTATTCTCTGAGGTAGAAAACTAAGGCATAGACTTCATAGGGGAGTTTATATGCATAGGGTGGCTTTCTTCATGGGTCCTTGTGAGTGGATTGGGATAAGGTACACAGTGGCTTTCAGAGTTCGGGTGAATATTTGATTGTTCTCCATCAATAGTAACTTTATTGCTTTTATAGGGAGAGTTGTACTGGAAATTCGCCCTCCCTGTCCTTCAGCTAGTTTGTCCCCAAGCAAGACCTGTCTGAAAATTGAAATGGAATACTTTTTCTTGTCTCAAGTTCAGTTGTAGCTGTCAGGAATTTGTTACTGTCTGCTAAAGCCTTTTAACATGAAAATATGCTAAGTCATGTGGGGAGTTATTTTATTTCATGGATGCAGAGAGGAACATAGACCCAGATTATTTATAGGTGAAATTAAAAGAGAAATCCTGAAAAATATATAGCCTCTGTGGCTCTGCCTCTTTTCCTACCTGCATCTCTTATATACACCATGGGGTAGATAGAGTATAAGCTTAGTGGGTATGGAAGAGCTGCCTTTTCCCCAACTTTGGTCCTCTTAGCCGTCCCCACCAAGCCATGCCTATCATCGGTGTTTAGCAAGCCACTGGCTTTAGAGAGTCTCTGTCCGCTCTCAGTGCAGCTCCTGAGATGGTGGGGATGGATTCCAGTTAGGAAGTGTGTTCGCTGCCCTAGCATAAAAGTAAAACTCTACAGGGAATGTTGGTTTCATTCTGTTCTTGGAGGGGTTGGTTTTGGAGTTGGTTTAGAATTCTCTCTGGCTTTCCTGAGAATCCTTCCACATGCCCCCTCCAGGCTGCTATCATGGTAGCTGCTTTTCTTTCAGCTACTTGAATTTATTGGGACTATGCCATCTTCCTTCAGTTTGCACCCTGGTGACTCAGCTTCTTCCATGTTTAGAGGAAAAGGGGAGATAGAGAGTCGAAGCACACGAGTGCTTTCTGGTGTTCTCTGTATGTATTTGGAAGCAGTGTTAAAGTAGCTAGGGCTTATGGTTGTATTATAGCATTATAGGGTATGAGACCTTTGGGGAAACTGAGGCTCACAAAGGCCGATAACTTTCCCTAAAGTCAGTGACTGCACATGCGGAGTCCTAGTGTCTGTGCTTTTCTACACTTTCCTGTTCATATGGAGGAGTCTGGGAAGGTCTCTTTTAAAATATATTATCTGTCCTATAAACCTCAAGGTTACATATGTTAAAGAAATATAGTCAGCTTTCCTCATGTGCTGAATTCTGAATCAAGGTGACCCAAACCCCCAAATCATTCCATGGAGCAAATGGAAAAAAAAAAAAAAAAGGTAAATGTGAATCATGAGAACCTGTTACAGTGATATATAGCTTGTCATAACACATTATAATATTACAGCAAATATATTTAACTCACTGAACATTCTCAAGGGGCTCTTAGCTCCCTTTAAAAGTGTCCTCCAAGCCTCTGCAGCAAGATTGAGCTGCTGAGTCCTGCGATACTTCCACCTCGCTTTTGACCAAACCACCATTATGAGAATCCTTTTTGAAAATCCCTATGCTGTTGCTGTTTCCCTGGGCTTAAAAGTATGTTTGGTTTTGTCAGTACCTGGAAACAGGAAGTTGAGATTTGAGGAGAAATCTTTGGCAGCTGTTCACTAAGCTTGCTGGAGTTAGGATTCTGTTGCCATGGAAACCACACTGCTGCCTCATTTATTAATGGAGGCTTGGTGAACTTCCGGAGATACTCTTAGCCTGTCCTGTAAATTCATTCTAGAGAAATGCAGGGTGACTTTTAAGAGATTTCTCTGACGTTTCTCAAGCATTCTCTCCTGGGTCTTCATGAGCTCCATAAAATTGGTTGTATGCAGTTTCAGAACCACTGATTTTTATCTGGCAAGCATGTCTGAAGGCCGTTTCCTTTCTTTCATGCTTAAATCGTGTTTATGCCTGCCTGCCTTGTTTAATAAGTGAATTTTTTTTATTATGCTGCCTTTAAGAATTAGATGGATTTCAAAAGAAGGAAGACGGGATAGAAAAATGAACTAAATAAATATATTGAAAGCCTTCTGACACTAACTTTAAGAGAGTTACAAGTGTCAAAGGCTTTTCAAACTTTTAAAATTCTAAACTTAAAAAAATGTAAAATGAATGGTTTATTTCTTCTAATTCCAGTGAGATACTTTAAGGACATTTGTTTGAGACATTTTCTAATTTTATTCTAATTTCACTAAACTAACTCTGCTGCTAGGCAGATTAACAGCATTGGAAGTTGCTTCCAGGAAAACAACAAAAAAATTTTTTTTCTAGCTAATTGTTTATCTGGGAGGATGCAAATGGTGGTTTTAAGTCTTTTAAGTCATCCATCATGCCTGGCAGCCTCTATTGTCTCATTGTTGGGTTTGAGCCAAGTCAGACCCTTTCTATTGGTCTTGGGAGGATGCACATAGATCTGGCTCTGCCAAATCTGTGTTCACAAGGAGTCCGAGCCCAGCTCTAAGGGAAGGTAATGTTGGCAGATCCATAGAGCCCCTCAGATTGGAAAAGATTATGCATCTTCATTTCTTAATGTCACATTAAAGTAGGAAGTAGCTCTCTATTCAAAGTAGAAGTGACAGGACTTGTTCCCTCAGTTCTTCCAGTGTCAACGAATTACTGTTAGCTTTTAAATGCATTTTTGTGGATGTAATAAAGTACTGTTTATAGTCAGCTACAAAGTAAGTAATTACAAAGCGGCAAATGAAATTCAATATAGCTTTGTCGTGGTTTTTTGAATTTTAATTAAAACAGTCTTAGAGTAAATTATAAATGCTACCGCTTTTGTTGTGACAAGTGACATTGACAAAATATTAATCTAATGGATTGTTATTCACCAAAGCTGAATGTCTTCTCAGATCTGCAGGTTTTGGTTGTTTATTTTGTTTTAGTTTTCAGTTTGTGGTTTAAAAATCCAGAGAAAAGAATAGTTTTAAAACCACATGAAATAAGAACTTCATGTATGGAATATTTCATTGTTGATTTCTTGCCAGCCACAATTGCATGCATCTCATTTATGGCACTGAAAACTTGTTCTTTTTAAAAATCAGATGTTTCTGTGGTCACTTTTGGTATCATTAAAACCAGAGCTAGGGTAAAATAACCAACTATTGACAGAAAAACCTAATATTAAAGGAATAATCAGCCCACATTTCTATGAGATCATTTACCTTTTACTTTATAAATTACCTTGTTGCTTCAAAATGACGTTTTGTTGGTTGTGAAGTTCTTTTATAGCTAAAGTATCCAAGTTATTTTCTTTGGAGATTCTTTTAACTTGAATTTACATAATTATCTGTAAAGAATGTGTATTAAATAGTCAAAAACTAGCTTTTCTGCCGGTTCCTTATTTCCACCCATCATGAGTTAATGCTTTTTTTTTGTTTTAGCATTTTAATGTTTAAATGAATGTAAATACTTTAGTTACAAGGTCTTTATGATAGTCCCACCATTGTTTTTAATAAGACGAATTTTAATCCAAGGCTAAGAACTTCTCTTTTTACTCTTTAGAACTAAGAGTCCAGAGGTTAGAATAAAATCACCTTTCCCTCATGGCTTTTTCTTTCAACATGTTAGAAATTTCTGTTTGAAAAGGAGAGCCACTTGCTCCCCTTTTTGTATTTGAGGGAATGACGATAAAATCACATTCAGTCAGTTTTCACATGTGATTTGTTGTCTATGTTTTTTTCTCCAGGGATTAAATTGTTGCCACCAGCACCACCAGCATCAAATGGGGGGTTGGGAGGGTAGGGGTGGGGAAGGTGCGAGACAGTTGGTTATAGACATCCAAATATGATGGCAGAAAAATCTCTACAACAATATGGCAGTGGAGCATTTGCTGACTTCAGAGTGCCAGATCAACCCCAATATTTTTTTTCAGGGATGCTAAACCTCTTGTAACTGCTAAATTGGATTTGTCACTGAATGAAGTATCAGCTGCTGTTGGACAAGGCCATAAAAGCCAGCCGGCTGGCCTTTTGTAGGCCGGGCTTACCCAACGATTGATATGTTTTAGCACTTTTGGGATTATTGTGATTAAGAGGAAACCATTCTGAATGAGCGAGAAAAGCGGGTAAGGACACACAGCCCACAGCTGGTGAGCAGCATGTGTTGGCTCCAAGGAAGTCACCATTATGGCTTTCTTCTGGTTCCTGCCTGATTGACAGGTATGAAATCTTTTTTTTTTTTTTTTTTTTTTTTTTTTTTTTTTTTTTTTTTTTTTTTTTTTTTAAAAGACAGTCTCACTTTTCGCCCAGGCTGGAGTGTAGTGGTGCCATCTCCACTACAACCTCTGTCTCTTGGGTTCAAGCAGTTCTCCATCTCAGCTTTCCTAGTAGATGGAATTATAGGTGCCCGCCTATAATTACCCATTGGCTAATTTTTGTGTTTTTAGTAGAGACGTGGTTCACTATTTTGGCCAGTCTGGTCTTGAACTCCTGATTTCAAGTGATCCACCTGCCTTGGCCTCCCAAAGTGCTGGGAATACAGGTGTAAGCCTTTGTGCCCCATCTGAGATCTTTATATGAGGAAATGGTGTCCTTATTTTCTCCAGTTGCAATTCAAGGAAAGAGACGTTTGGAATGTTGTGGACTTGAGAACGGCGAATGCTTTAAAAGCACTTTTGTGCACATTCGCAAACACCCACACACACACAGTAGCTAGAAGTGTTAGTCTAGCACGAGAGTTAATTGAGTTAATGTGTAGGGAATCAGTAATAACAGCAGAGTGTCCTCTTTCATTTCCCAGATCCAAAGCTCTGTGACATGCATCAGCAATACACTTCCATGTAGTTTGTGTCTGAGTCTGTGTGCATGTGTGTGATAGCTAACAGGGAATTGCACAGCCAGTGGATTTGTGAACTTGAGCACCTGCACCTGGCTAAGGCTTTATTAAGTATAGAAATGGTACTGTCTTTGTAGAACACGTTTTGTCTCAAGAACCACTTGCTCCTTTGAGTGGTGGCCTTTTGCATGCGTCTTGGGCCAGGTAAGACAATTCTGTCCCAAGAGGCAGCTTGTGGAGTAGTTGGTGTTTGAATCTTTCCCAGTACTCCCAAATGCACATAGAATTGTTTGCCTCTCTGGCTGTCCCACGGGGCCGTGTCCCGTTCATGTTCAGAGTTTGCTCAGCATACCACACAGGAAAGAGGCTGGCTTGCCAGGTCCTGTGGAGCGCCTTTCCAAGCCTGTGAAAGGCACGAATCATCCAGCAGCCGAGCATGCTTACAGCTGGCCCTTTGCTAGCTTTGATCTGCGAATCAGGCCACACCATGAATGCCCTTATTGTCATGTTATGTGTACACAGTGTGTGAATTATTGAAAATAGGGAGGCCTGAGCCTCATCTGGTAGAGATTACAGTGCAGGCATGCTGGGTGAAGGTCTGTAATTGAAAATCCCCAGATGCTGTTTATTTGCCCTTTGTCACATGACCTGCTGCAGGAAGATTGTCTGCACAAAATGTTGCCTGCATGGAGAGTGGAGCCCGCCCTCCCCCACCCCCCAGAGCCTCTGCAGGCTGAGTCTGTGCACAGCTTAAACACCTGCCCAAAGGATTTTTAAAGGCTTAAAATAGATTCACTCATAGCATTTAAATAGAGGGCATCTTGCTTGTTGGTTTAAACTGCTTAAGCGGCTGTTGACTTGTGGAACCTTCTATCCACACAAGAGTTTGCTGGATAATTTCACTCTGAGATATCTTTACAAAGCAACATTCAGGGCCCGAGCCACATGAGTAGTTTAAGCTCTGCCTTTTTTTTTTTTTTAAGTCAAACTTCTGTGCGGTGAATGAGCTTACAGATAAAGCCATGTTGACTGTATATATTCCATCTGTCTGTAGAAAATACTGTGGTTACTGAGAATAAGGCCCTGAGTTAGCTTGTTTGTCTTCCATTTGTCCAGTTCATTCTTATCTGTTCTGTTTATAAACAAGTTGAATAGTATTCTCTTTGTCAGTGGCATATTGAAGCAGGCTGCTAAATTTGAAATTGATGAAGATCACAAGAATTAAAAAGAGGCCGGGCATGGTGGCTCATGCCTGTAATCCCAGCACTTTGGGAGGTGGAGACAGGTGGATCATGAGGTCAGGAGATCAAGACCATTCTGGCTAACACAGTGAAACCCCGTCTCTAAAAGAAAAAGAATTAAAAACAGGGAAGATTGACCAAATTTTGAAGGAAGAAGGACTTTCAGCTTTCCAGGTTCATTCTGCTAGGGAATAAAACAGCCACATGTCCTCTTTCATTGCCACTCTGTCTCAGCTGTGCTTGTGGATTCCTCTCTGATTTCTTGGAGCTCAGGAAGAGGAAAGATTCATGGGTATTTCTGCATTCCATGAGCATCCAACATGACTGTGAGCTCCCTGAAGGCAGGAGCCCTGTTGCAGTCTCCTTTGCATCACCAGTGCTTGCCAACAGTATGCTTTCTCTGCCTTCCTGTGGCTTCCCCCTCCCTTTCTTCCTGCCCATTCAAAGAAGACAGTCACTGCCTCCCATGTGCCATGATATCCTTATTCAGATGTTTTTTCTTTCAGGAGGGGCTCAAGTCACCAGTAGCAATATCATTAAGTAGCACATTCTTCATACAGAGCCAGAGGTTGGGAGGATGGAGTAGATGGGAGTAGGATGTGGGTCCTGCC